TAAAACTAACACGAGTCTCAATAAGTGTCTAGTTCTAGGGTCTTACACAGAATTATACCAAACAACATGAATCAAACATGCACTTTATTTATTTACACTAAATATCAAAAGTACATCAAATCGGATTGAAGCTAAGGGCATACAAAACTGTCTAACAAGAAAGACAATGGTACAATTGCCATGGTTTTGAAGGTTGATATGCATTGTGAAGGTTATGCCATTAAAGTTAAGAAATCTGTCAAGGATTTCGAATTGGTAAATCAAACCTATGATGACAATCTCTTTGGTCTTATTTCTATTAATGTTAAATGTGGTATTCAAAACTGTTTTCACAATGTTTCTAGGAATTTCTATTTTCAACTAAAGATATAGAAGTAGAGATGAATGGAGAAATATAGGTTGTCAATTTTTATTGTTTTTTAGTCTAGATTTTACATAGTTCCTTCCCATCCCTCCCAGATTTAATGCAAATTAATTTCCTTTGGTTTTATTGATTGAATTCTTTTTCTTTTGATAGAAATGTGAGGAATTACAACTTAGAAAGTCGATTAGAAATAAAACAACAAGCATCAAATAAGCAAATGAACCCCATATTAATATCTTCCAAATGATAGCTTGAACAAGTTGTTTGGTGCCCAGATGCACCAATCTGCCTGCAGCACAATTTGCTTCCTTGAACATGTGTACATATTGGGGTTGTTGGGAAATGAGGTCGTTGAAACTTGGGTGAGAATCTGCAACTAGCAAAGTTTAAGAGTCTCCGAAGAAACCTTTTGTGAGATAGTAGCAGATCAGACTAAGAGAGACATGAGTGATTTTGAAAACTTGTGTGTGCATTTTCTTGATTCACGGTCCTTAAATAATTCCTGAAGAGTCAAGGTAGTTAATAGTTAATGACTATTAACTTTGAAATGTGCCTCTTGATCACACCTGATCGAATCATGACCGTTGATGTTTCAACAGTAAGTCTCGCACCAAAACTCAAAGTGCGAGTAAAGTGTGCTTCATTTTGCGCTATGCACACATGTTGCGTGGTAGCAAGCCTCCATACTCTCCTCTTTATATCTAACGAGTGTAAATAAACTTCTATTTAAAAACTAAAAACAAGTCTTGTAATTTTCCAATGTGGGACAAGTTAAAAACTGATTTTAGTAAGAGAAAAAAAAACTATTTTTCAAGACATGTGTGTATATATGTTTTTCATGTAATTGATCAATCAAATCCCATTGGATTTAATCTCTAATGAGATTAAAATACAACAGGGGTTTTCTCTTTTCATCCCTACTTAGATTATTGGGGTTTTCAACTTAGGTTATGAGAATGTGCTAGCCATTGAGTTCTAAATCGTTTTACTGCTTTGTTTTGTGGGGGTTAATTTTGGCTGTTGGAGCCCAACAGCATAAGCTGTTGAGACAGTTTCTGGGTTGGGCACGTTCTCGGCAGTTCACCTATTCACGCCCATGCTTTGGATTTTAGTCAAAATAAATTAAGATATAATTACTAATTTACTCATTTTCATGGTAACGTGGCATTTCCAAAAATTCTCTCAATAGCATAGGTTGGAAGTAAGACCATTTCTTCACGAAGAGATAGAAACATCAAGTGCTAACACACAACTTATTACAGCCACGTACTATCTGCGAATACAATAGTGTATAATGAAGAACAGAAAAAGTGGGATCTTCAGGGCTTAGGTAGGTATAGTAGTTGCAGTAGAAGAAGATCGACAGTTTTAGTATCATACCTTCACCCACAACAAAACAGAAAAACTTTAGCTATTAGAGGAAATGAAACCGAGAGATACGCCCCCTGTGGTTATGTTTGGTTTGAAGGAAAATGCAGAGAAAGATAGAAAAACGTTTACAATTCTTGTATAGGTTTTTCTGTCTTTTCCCTTTCTTTACTTTTTCTTCAAACCAAACATAACTTAAAAGAAATAGGTTTTACTCTCCAAAAGAACGTTCTCATAAAAAAAATAAGGACGAATGAATAACCCCTCCCCCTGGGCCCAATTTCTTGTCCCATTGAATTGAAAAAGAAGAGAAAAATCAATTGATTCATGATACTTGGAGTTGTTGGGTGAGTGCTGCTCCTCTCTATTCCCCTTGTGTAGGCAATTTGCTCTTGGGTTCTTGACTTTTTGTAGATGAAATTAATTTTAATTTGCTGTCTTTTCTTTTCCTTTTATCTTTTACTCAAAACAACAAAAAAAAAAAAAAATGCTGAATACAGAGTCAAAACTGAGTAGGGTGCTAAATCATAGTTGAGTCAGTAAAACGGGAGGGGCGCTAATGGTCCAAGAAAGAATCGAATCAATTTGACTATAAGAAGGAGACCCATCTTTTGGAATTTTTCTCGGCAACCATCTAATCAATCCAGTTGAAGAATGCTGGTAAACATCCAGTTTTACGCAAGTCCAACATACATGGTGGGACCCGTCCGTGAAAAGACACAACATTACGCATGTCTTTTCAGGGCCCCACCTTATGTCTAGGGAGACACAGAAAATCGAAGAGTTGGAACTGTTAAGCGCGTCTGTTACTAACATTTCTCAACCTAATCTTTATGTCCCGTTGTGTGCATGCAGAGCAGAAGACTAACGAATCAATGCCATCAAAATAGTAAACAAAAACAAAAATCTCTCTTATTCTACGGACACCGTGTATATAATGGGAAGAGTAGGAACAATCAGAACCGCTCCTTTGCTATCTGACGTAAGGCTGCAAATGGGTCGCATCGAATTGAATTCGGATTTCAATTGGATTTTGATATATAGTAGTGTTAGCTTCAATTCAGATAATTAATTCCTGTAAGATAGATAATATCCTCAATTATTGGAGGATGACAGCAATTGTCCCAGGAATCATTGGTACAAAAAATCTACTGTTGATTTCACAATAAGCTAGCTAGCTAGCTAGTTGAGGGAGTCTACTGTAGGGAATCAGGGAAGAGGAAACTTAGGCAGTTTGGTTACAGTGTAATTTTATTTGTGTTAGCATAGGAGGGCAAATGATAAAAAAAAAAAAACTGCAAATTCTCATTTAATTTTGTTTTGAGTATTTTATTCTACTTCATGTCTTAATTTATTTCATTCATATTGTAATTAAATAAAATAAATTAAGATTTGATACAAAATAAGTCAGAATTTACACTAAAATCATTTGCACTGCTATAATTTTGCATCAGCGCAAATTTATTCGCATTGCAATCAAAGAAGCAGCATTAGAATCTTTGAAAATAAGATAAGAGAAGATGTGTCTTGATGACATATTGGTATCACACACGAGCTTCATGTGTAGCTCGTGGTCTTCAAGCTTTGAAGAGTTTGCTGGGTACTCACTACTTGAATACAACTAAATTAAATGTCATTGTGGAGCTGGTTCTCAGATTTTCTGCGGCAGTGCAGTTGGCAACCCCCGGGCTGGTAGGCATCGGAGATGTCTTTTTGTCAAATTTGGACCTTTTGTATTGCGCGCGGCAATAGAGATTAACTGGCTTGCGAATTGCAAGAAAGCTTGGTTTTCACTCCTACATGTGCCCACTGTGATTCTGCTAACACCATTAGGTGGATGAGTCTGAAGGAGGGAGGTCAAAGGAGATTTTGAGTCATTACTCATTACTTAGCCAAAGGCAAGAGACCTACCTTTTTCTTTACTTGAATCACTCAGTTGGATCCCTAGAGATCTTAATATGTTAACTGATTCTCTAGCGAAAAATGGTGTCAACAGACAAGAATATTTGTATAGAAGCCATGTAATGCCCTAATTTTTTTTTGAGGGGCTTCCAATCTTTTTGCACATCCCCCCTCTTTTAATCAATGTCTAGGAGTATAAGTTGTGCAGGTTGGGCTGGGTTTATGATCAACCCAGGCCCTACCCTATGATTTGGGCTTAAGGCCTGAGCCGGACCAAGCCCGAGGTCAAGCCCTATTTTCCCAACCCGACCTCTATATGCATTGTAATTTGAAACACTTGGATTAGGCTCGGGTTGGTCAATGAACCCACTCTCTAAAATTATACATATATATATATATGCATTTATGAAAATATGCACACACACACACATATATATATATATATGTAATATGTATGTATAAATGTGTATAATCGGGCTGGGTTCAGGTTACCTAAGGTCTAGGCCTGGGCCCAGCCCTAAAATTAAAACCTGAATTTTTGCACCCCTAGTAGCATCTTATTATTCTCACTCACTCTCTCTCCCCAAAGAAAGCAATCTCATGGGCTACTGGTTTGCAAATTCTGGGCCAAATTCATGCTAATTTAAAATATAACCTTGCAATAAAAATAAAACATCTAACAAACTTTACTAATAAATACAATATAAATTTTAAGTATATATATATATATACACACACTTACAATTTGACAGGATCAAATTGAAATTCAATTTGTATTATGTTGAGTGCAAAGCTTTGTCGAGAGTATTTCTAAATCTTGCATTTGCACTCTTTCCAAACTTGAGTTATAGGCAGCAGACCATAGAAGAAAATTGGACCACTATTTGATCAATGGCAATGAGTTTAATTTTGACTTTTGACCACTTAATTCTGAAATTATTAGGGCAAGTCTAGAGACGACCGATGCAAAGCCAGCACCCTATATATGATCAAGATAATTACCACCGTTGAATTTATTTTAGTAAATCGCCCTCCATATAGCATCACCCAAACCCATAAGGCCTGTTAAAGTTTGATAAAAAAAGGGAATATATATTCCAAATAAGCATTGTGAATGTGATATAAAAAATAGAATCTCTCTCTCCCTCTCTCTCTACACAAAAACAGCAAACTTGAAAGTCTGCAATTTGTGTTCGGTCCAGTTGCATTGCATATAAACAAAAAGAAACCAGAAAGCATTTAAAGTTGCTTTATGCTTCTAGCAGGAGAGCTTCAGTGACAAATCAAGAAAATGTGCACTTCTACTTGTAGAAGCCTCACCCACCACTACTCCTGCTCTTGATGATGATGTTGCTGCTGACGACGATGAAGATGAAGATCCCTCTGTCTGCTGGGTCGAACACCAACCATTGTTGTTCATCTCCATTTTTCTTCTGTCTCCTCCTCCTCCTTCACTGCACGGGAAGAAATCATACTCCATCACCACTTCCCCTATCACCGTCCTCCCCTTTCTTTGAACTGCCAACACCTTCGCTTCCTGTTCCACCCAAAACCCAAACGAAAACAATAATCTATTATTCTTATTTAGTAATTAATAGATAAATTGGTTAATTTCCTCCATGTACATTTTTAATTTTCAAATAATATGTAAATTTAACCTCGTGGACTTTAGGTCTGTCAAGCCTTAATCTCGCTCCTCCTGCTCCGTCACCGACATTTCCTCTTTCTCCATCAAGGTTCCTGTTGCATCCCAGATCTAATCCTAGAAAACCTCTGTCGTCTATCGGCATTACCCATCGATGTCTTCCCGCTCCTCCATACTCCAAGTTGTCGCCATTAGAGTGTTTCTTATACTACAAAGCAGCAGCATGTGTCAATCTAACGCGGCTCAATAAACGATAAATTACGTTACAAAAAGCTAACGGGAAACGGGAAACCCTAACAAAATGCTGAGAAGGAGAAACTCTTCACCACCTTGGCCCACAGGTAGGACTGTTCATCGGACAAACCATGCATGGTTTGAATTGAAGAGAGCTCTTTCCGACTCTCGATTGAATGCCCGTTCTGGAACCTCCTTTCATGACTGCCGATCCTTGACCGATCCGCCTCAAACCGCTGGGAGTAATACACAGGTCGTACCCCAGAAGCAACGGGAACTCCGGAAATCCCGCCGTTCCCGACGCTGCACGAGTAATAAGCCAAAGTGTGCGAACTCAAGAGACTGCTATTCGGTCCTGCATAGTTCGTCGGACCAAGACCAGACAATGGGGCTGATATCCCGCTTGGCTGTTGATTGACAAACGGGAAAGAGAACTGGAACTGGGCCTGATCTTTTAAGCTTTGACAGAGAAATGGATCCATCTCCGTCATCATCTTCCATCGCTCTTGCAACCTTAGTCTCTCAAGTTGAGCCACACCCAATCCTCTCTGTGGCGGTTTCTTCTGCGTCGGACCATTTTTGCACTTCCTTCCTCTTTTATTCATGGTCCCGGGCTGCTTCATCTCCCGCTCTTCAGGAGACTTATTATCTGGATCTTCATCTCTCCCCCCGTTCCCGTTGGAGGAATTCCATGGCCCAACTGAGATCTCCATGAGGATATCTCAGAAACTGAGTTGCAGAGAGTAAAGAAAGAGATTTTTATACCTCAAGAGGCGGAGGGGTTATCTTTTCAGGGGGAAAGAAGAGAAGATGGCATGCTTTTTGGAGGGGAGGTGCTCTCCTCAGAGAACCAACCAGAACCAGAACCCAGCAGAACGGAATCAGAGAGTGAGAGAATACCGTCAAGATATGGAGGAGCCGCTGCCCAGTGCCCGCTTGGGTGGGTTCCCGCTTCCCGGGTTTATTATTTATAGACCACGAGCAACCAAAGGCAAGTAGCCCGTATCCATCTCTCGAATATTAAATTTATTAAATCAATTAATTATATTCCCAGAAGATATAGCCGCACCGCATAGCATGAATGAAATCCAGATCTTGGTATCTCTCTATATAATGCGGTCCCCACCACTACACGTGTCTGAATCTACGTACCTCAGCTGACCCTAAGGACCCTGAAAGAAGCTGGCCCCACTTCCGAAACCAAACTGCTGTTATATTAGACAACAAGGAAGGCGCGTGGGACCACAGTGTCCCACTCTCAACAAATACGTACAGGGAAAATCATTGATCTCTCTCTTTCATCTGATTTAGACAAGCTACATACTTCATTTATGAGAGTCTGTGCTGGATGTGATAGATTGGACGGTTACGATCATGTGGTGCAAAGGTGTTGGAACCAATCAAACAGTGCCAAAGGCTGGTCCCACAGAGAATTACTATAATTATAGTCATAAATTTTTGAATCGTCGATATAATATTGGTAAGATTTGCAATCAACACCTTTTTTATGGCAAATACCAATAAGTTTGATTCCATGAACGTCCAAAAAAAATTAAAAAAAATTAGAATTTCTAGATGAATCCTGATTTAGCATTACTAATTTCTAACATCCTATAAATGATTAGAAAGATTATGAATATTATAAATATATAATAAAATAGCCATTTTAGTTTCCAATATCTTAGTGTACATTAAGGGGTTGTTTGCCCATGTCATGTGCATGATTTTATTTTGAAAAATAAAATCGGATGTCACATCAACAAAATTATATCGTTTTTGTTGATGCCGTAATTGTTTTTTTAACACAGAATCATATACATCCCAAAAAACTTAGTTTTCTTAAACCAATGCATACTAAACTTAGAGCTCATTTGGGAGAACTTAAGTTGATTGAGCTACTTTGAAGAAGCGACTAAAATTAGCTTCATAAAAAGGTGATTGATTAGATATAGGGTTGTAAATGGATCAGATTTGCATCCACATTTGATTATTATGTCAAATTTTCTATAGGATTTGGATTTAATCTATGACCATTTTGTTGTGTTTAAAATGACTATAAAACTAAAAAAGTTTTAAAAAAAACCTAATTATTTTAAACTTATATGTATGATAAATGTATGTAAATATAAAAATATTAAACTTATTAATTATAATCTTTGTATGTATGTATGTATGTATATAATAAAAATGTATTTATTTGTTATACTAGGCTCGCGAGCCTCACAAGTCGAGTTTCATTGGGCTCGAGTTCAACTTAGTTAGCAAACGAGCCTATATATCAGGCTTGAGGTCGGTTTAAATCAAACCGAGCCAAACTTGAATAACTCGTGAGAAGATCAACTCGTGGCCATCCCTAGGCAAAAGTTTTAGTATTAGCTGCCAATCTAATGCAACCCTCCTTTTATCTAAGCTTGAAATCAACAATGTAAAACAAACTCACACTAACTGAGGTATTATTGTATAATTATAATTTTAAATTAATCTTTTTTAATATTATTTGAGCTAACAAATGATAATTCTCAAAGGGTTTCTTATTAAGAAGTGTTCACACATGATATATCACTCTTATGGTGATAAAAACCTAAAAGCAAATTTTTCAAATTTTATTGCCTATCCCACTTTAGAGTGGGGAAAAAGATGTAGATATCAATCATCTAATTCATCCACAATTTCCAAACATAAAAAATAATAAAAATTTTATAAATGTTCATACTCACACGCTGACCCAAAAAAAAAAAGACAGGTGAAGATGCTGAGGTACGGATTAACTCATCCGCTTACCCAAAAAGAAAAAAAAAAAAAAGGAAAAAGCAAAGAATTACAACAATGAAGCAAGTGAAAGAACATACACGAACCGTATTAATAACATTTCTTTTTTCTATGTTGATTATATTAATATCATGTATAGGCGCAGGGTTTTGCATAGACGAGGAAGAAAATCTAGCCGCGTGACCAAAACTCAACGCGTTTAGACTTTAGGATGAGATCGATCCGGTAGAGTGAATCCTTGTCTTCTCCACAGCCCCGTCCGCCACGCGGCATACAAACCCCGAGATTCTTGATCAATAGTAAATTGCCACGTAAAAGTATAAATCCTCATCTCACTGCCTTTTTCGCCTTTTTTATCTTCTCTAGATTCCGGGTCCCCGCAGCCTCCGTGCATCGTTTTCGGCCAAGTGAATCCAAATTCCAAATTTGAATTGTCTACAAACGTTTTTTACTCGTAGCATGTATATACATTCATCCTCATCCAATGGGAGATATGATGAACTGGGTTTTTATTCGCTAATTGGTGGGTCCTTTATCTGGTGGGAAGTGGAAAGCACTGGGCCACCCATAACAGGCCACGTCAGGATGACTTACATGAGCCCGGTTTGTAAGTACGTGGCGGACGTGGTGTGTTGTAATTGATCCAGTTTCTCAGTTACGAGAGAGAGGGTAAAGTGACAATCTGACAGAGGAGAGAAGCGATGACTTGGGTTGGGTTGGGGTACGAATTGTGGCGGCTCAGAAATTAAAGTGACGTGGAGGGAGGAATTACAATTCAAACAGACAAAGTCGTTCGTTATGATTTGATTTGTGATTTGTGAAGTGAAGTGGAACAGGTGAAACGAGAGGCAGTTACCGTGTGTTTCTGGTCCATGGCCTTACGGGCAGTTAAAAAGGGTGGATTCTCGATTTCTTTGAAGCAGATGCAGATTCTCTCTGCTTGGAATTGGAATTGAAATGATTGGCTTTACCGTCCGTACCATCTCCAGCAACTCGCAGAGACTCGCCCTGATCCTAACACGCGTTTACAAATTACAATTCGGCACTCTCTCTCTCCCCAAAACATTAAACATCCCTGTTTCCCGTTATAATTACGGATATGTCCCCGAGATTCGCGATCCCTTTAATTTGATTAATATCAATCTAAAAAACTGCCGTTCGCTTTGGCCAATGGCCGGTAGTGGTGAGTTGTAGCACGCTGACTCGGAGAGATAGAACGTAGTTACTGAGTCATCAGTGGGACGTACAAGCACAAGCACAAACGCAACACTTGTCTTTAAAACAGATGTGTCCATACTAAGGGGCAGAAACTTGTCAATACTAGCCAACACGAGATATTTGAACCGTCTTGCTAGACTGGGTGAAATTTGCTTAGTAGATAAGGGTGTAGTTGTCAATTCAGGGAGGGGAGAAGGGGAGCGATAGTGATATAACGGGAGGACGGTGTGACCATAAGTGGGAGGGAGAGAGGTCTTATATATTAGGCTTTGTTACCTAGGGGCTTGCCAAAAGAGAAGGAGAAATTAGGTTAACTGTTAGCTCTGGCTTTATGCAATTTGTGTGAAAGCATAACCAATTGGTAGCTAGAGCTGAAACAAACACCCTCTTCTTCCTCCGTTTTCAATTCTCATTCCTCACCTTCTTCATGATGATGGAAACCAGTGATAGAGGGACCACCAATCCACCATGAGAGAGAAAAGAGATATATGACTTGGGTCGTCTGAACTGAGATATGCTTATCTTAATCCCCCCTATAAAGAAAACCTAGGCTTGGGTGGACCCCAATTGCATTCTATTTGCCAGTCAAGATTACCTACTCCTAAGAGAAATTAGTTTCAATTTACATTACTTTTATTTATGGCGTGAGACACAACCTTCACAACACTTCTACATCCAATCTATATTGTTTTTAGTTAATTTGTACTCCCCAAGTACTGTAAACTAGTGATTTCACCAAGTGGTTAATGTGTTGTTTATGGTCCCCCCCCCCCTCCTTATGGACCACAGATTATTCCATAATATAATGAGTTTATACCTCACATGACTTTCTGGAACCCGTTAATTGTGCTGAGAAAAACCCGATTGCGATTTAACAAATGATTAAGATCATTCAATTATGCAGACTTTATTGACAGTGGTTCAAAGGTTTTGTATGGCTGAATTAGACCTGTTCATGGGCTAGGTTTGGGCTTGGCTTTTGTCAAAATTCTGATGGGTCCGGCCTGAAGCCCAAGCCCCAAACAGCGTAAAGTTGGGCTCAAAGCCCAGCCCATGAATAGGTCTAATTTGAATCCCTAAATGGCAGATCTATGATGATGAAACCAGATTCAAGAGTTATAGTGGGCTGACTCAAAAGACAATAGCAAAACGTCATGGTACAGTAAGAACACATTTAATGAGATAAGGGTCATAAATCTGCCTTCTCATGCCTGCCAGCCTTGGCACCTCTGATGCATTATCCAAACAAAGAAATAAATAAAGAGAACTTATTTTTGGGAGGTTGGGAACTGATATGAAATGTAATTTAATTAGAATGTAGGGCTTGGGGAAAGTAGCAATCCAAAGTGGGACTGCAAGTCTTCAAGGCAGTTTGCTTATAATAATTCATTCTTTCATTCAATCAATAAAAGCTACCAGTTAAGTATAAAGTAAAATTTAGTCAGACTTTATACATTTGGTTTATTCATCACATGATCAGAATGAGTATCAATGTCTACTAGTAGCCATAAATTAATTACATCATATGTACAGTGAACTAAGCTGTGTGTCTATTTACAAATCTGAATGGTTTTGATTTCAACATTTTATTAAATTGAAATCGTTCAAAATAAAAAAAAAAAAAATCTTGGGATTTCCAAAACCTTGTGAAATCAAATGCATTCTGATTCCTAAATATTCCCTTGATTCAGTAACCTAAATTTGTGAAGGTTTACAAATATCTAGAAGTTCGATTTTACTTTTGTAGCCAAGCCACTATCACGAGAAAAAAGCTTTTAATTCACGTTAAGAACCCAATTATGTTTCCTTCAGGTTCAGGTGGTTTCAGTTTCTTAAATTGACAGATTCTGGAATCAAGTGTGGGCCCCGTTTTCTTTAAATTGCACCCATCAAATCGTCCAAGTTGGTAAACATCATTTCAGATCATTAAAGACCTATCCCATAT